TATTTTGATAATGACTCTCGATTATCATTCTCAGTGAGTACGAATTAATTATTCCAACAACTAAATGGAAGAAAATGTATGGGCCGCCCTCCGTTTGTAATGGTTAATATTCAATTAATACTGTGAGCATGTATTTTACTTATCCAATAGCTACTTTGATTGAATGGTTGAGTGTATGATTTTTCATGTATAGTAAGTTTGATTTGTACTGCTTTTAAGTATTTGACTTTTTCAGAGAGTTTGTATAGGCAGTTTGGTATTATAGGATGAATATGTCGAGAAGTTGGGCAAAAGTAAGTACTTAGTCTTAGATAACTGATACTATGGATTTACATACGGTATGAGGTCACCCAAGTTCGTGTGATCAACAGAAAAAGCTCGTGTATGCCACGGACTCGGAGTATGAGATTAGCGTGATGTACTCTACTATTTTAAGTCGGACTCTCAGGTCTTAGTCTTCATACTCAGTTATCTTTATGGTCATAGAGTGGGTGACAATAGATCTATGTATCACTGGCTAAATAGCGATAATAGCTTACTGATTAATATGGATGCAAGATATATTTTTGGAATCATTAATAATTTTCAGTATAGAAAGTGTCTAATTGCTATTTATAGGAATGAAATTTAGTGTGATAGCAAGACTATGATACACTATGAAATCCCTTTTTGAAGGATTACATATTCGCTTATGATTCAGATTAGGATGTTGTCTGATTCGTTATTTGACATTATGAGTTTACATGTGTAGATGTTGTAAAGCATATTAGGGCCAATTCTATTTGTATTATTATTTTATTAATATTGCTCTTATTAATGTAAATACAAAAGTAACTTTTTAGACTGTACTATTGGTAGATATTTCAGCCATGCATGAAATACATCAGCAATATTTATGAATTGGATTCTTCCCTTCATCTTTTGTTCATAAGACAGTAACGATATATGAGAGCGCTTATGCCGATGTTTTTGAAACACGTTATTTTTTTGTTTTGTCTATTTTTATTATATTGAGTTTGATTGATTGATACTTTCAGTAACTCTCTCTTTGGAGGAATTAATTGTAAATACGCATATGATTTGTTATACTGATGGGGAATTTTTGTTACTGGATTCGTTCGTACTGTATGTGCTTTTTGAATTGTAGAGATGGTTCATTGTGGAGTCTATCTCTGTGTGTGTTTGATTGCTATATGTTACGGTTCATATATAATAGTTATTCTTTACGATGTTCCTACTATCGGAGCGAAATGCGTTGTGTTTAAATACTGTTTAATGTACAATAAACAATGGATAATAAGTTTATTATTAGCAGAGTGAAATAAATTAATCCTATTATTGATATAAGTTATTAGTATTTGGCCTTGTTTATGCAAAAAAAAAACAATACCATGGGCAACCAAAGAAAGGTTTAATCATTTTGTATTGTAAAAATGTAAACTTTGGAGGAGTAACTATTCTACAGGCAACTCCCACATGCTCTCGAACTTATAGAGTTCAGACACACAAGAAGATAGCTTGAGGAGTAATTCAGGAAAAAATGGCGGCTCTAACAAATCACAAAAAGTGTGAAACCAGCAAACCACACTGCAGGGGAAAAGCTAATCATTAATAGAATTAATCTAGAAGCTATTTTTCTAAATATAAGGAAACAATAGACAATAAGTTATTAGAAATGGTTTTAACGAGGATTAGCAAAGGAATTCTTTTAAAATTGGATCACTAATTTGCAAAAACTTATTGAACTATTAAATTTCAAATTGGTGAAGATTTCTTTTACAAAATTGATCATATTGCCTGAAATAATCGGAACTATCAAAGGCATGCAAACGTTGTGCCTCAAGCAGCTTTATTTCATGTTTATTTGTGGGCAGTCCGAGCTAGTGTAATACTTTGTAACCAAATTTTCGGATGATTATTGTAAGGTATCCAGTTTGACCTTAATACTTGGCTCGGGGTATAATAACACAAGAAAATAGTCTAGATTGTAAAATGAGATATCTTCAGGAAATAGTGTAAGGATCAAAAATGTTATGTTTGTTCAGACACATGTTAGAATGAGGTCTCACATTTTACAAAGTTTATCGAATTTTTTTTTTTGATATGCAATTAGGATAGGAGTATTGATAGCTATGGTTTGTGTCAAAGCCAATTTAATTACTTATTCCAGTAATTAGAGGCATTAGTTATTTTTCCATTTTACTTGAAGATGAAATGATCATTTCTGATAAGCTACTTTAGTAAACGCATAACCAAACACATAACTCAAACTCCATACTTACTTTATGCTTGAAGTAGTTAACCTGCTTTATACTTTATTAGATGATTATGCATAATGGTCCTCATAGTGAAGATGAAGGTGTGGTTTCACTTTCAACCCTTAATGTTTGTTTTCAACTATTCACTTTGTATTTATTTTATTTATTTTATTTTATTTGTGTTAAAAAAATAAAGTTATCTGAAAATGATCCTGTAGAAATGATCATATACAAACATTATTGTACTTTGATTAATTGTTTATTTCTTTTGTTTTGATTGCTAATTTCTATAAATCAATTTCTAATATATGATTTCCTCTTGTTGCAGTTTCATGAATTTTGACGCAGTTCATCAGTTCTATAATGAAGTATCATTTTTTTTTTTTATTTCTCTCATAATATTTTCATTAAAGTTGATAAATATTCATTTCCTTTCTCCCTCTAATCATTAGTTTTTCCCAAATTTTAGTTTGTATTTTATGCTATTTTCATATTGTTTTGTGGTTTTTTTGCTGGTGGTCATCAATTTCTAGGTTCTCAATATAATCAAAGTACAACTCTCTGCACAATTTTCTTATTACATCTTATATAATTTTGATAAAAGTTAAATTGTTTGGTTCTGTTACTTTTTTAGTTATGTTTTAAAACAAAGCTCCCTTTCCATTTGCATAAAAGATAGGCAAAATGGACTAATAAGCAGTAAACCATGATTAAAAAAAATAGTATTACTCAAACTTTTTGCTTTTATTTTCTTTCCACTAGTTATTTTCTTAATCTGTCTTTTTTTCTTATGGAGCTTAGTAAAGGTGTTGTAGTGGTCTTTGTAGCTTTTCTGTTAGTGGTTTTGGTGAACGTAAAGTAGTGGAATGAAATTGAATGATTAGTATGACCTATGCACTGTACGCTAGATATTCTTTTCCCCCCATAAGAAAGTGTTGGCTTGGCCATTACAATTTTTGGGGATTGTTGAGAGTATGTTAAAAATTTAAACCAAAAAGGAAAATGTGCATAATGAGGATTGAAAAAATTGAAAAAACAAAAGAAAATGGAAGATAAACATAGATAAATCTCTTTCTTTTTTTTTAACACACAGACTAATCTTAGGTAACAAAATGCCTTTCTAAGACAATATACGTTGGTAAATTTTGAGTTACTTTGGAAATAACTTTGTGCTTAATTTTGGAATCCCCCATTGTCAAAATAAAAATTGATGTCTAATTGTCTTTTAAATTGATTTTTCAGGATTATTAAATTTACATTTTATTAAGAGAAAACTAAAGTTGTAGGTTCTTTCTCTCTATTTATGTCTCTCTTTTTTTAACCTCTTGGAATATGAGGACAACAAAATCGTGGTGTAGAGTTTTTGTTGTCCCGTTGTTCTTCTTGCCTGGTTTAGTTAGTTAAAGGAAAACAAGTGTTTTCATTTTTTGTCAAGTACATAATAAATGTAGTAAAAACTAGATAAGGAAATATGTGAAGAAAGCGAGTTGGACTGTGTGTGTGATGGTAAGTGTGTTTGATAAATGATAGATGCTTTGAGTAGTTAGAAAGTTTATTACATACTATGTGATGTTGATTTGAAAATACCGAACATTAGACATTTTTACTTTAATCCATCTAATCTAACTTTATTATTATTTTTCAAATTTAATTTTTTTTTTTTTTAATTTTAGGTATCGATATTAGAATGGCTATTGAATGACTTTCAAATCCTTTAACTTTGGCCAATTTTAGGGCAACATTTCATTTTTAAAATTGTCTTAGTTAATGTATTTGATGGCTTCTTACGAAAAGTACAAAATAAAGGAGAAATAATCATGGGATTAATCTTCTCCTGTCCAATTTTTACGGGTTGAAAAAATCTAGAAATCCCCTAGATGTTGATTTGTGATTATGTATCAATTTTAAGCAGAATATAACAATCCCAATCAAACAATCAAGACAAAAAGAAACACAACGATTTAACGTGGAAAAAACCACAATTGGACACCTCCAACTGTGATAAAAAAAACCACGGGCAACGCCACAAAACAATCCACGAAGAAGATTTAAGGAATTTCACAGGTATACTCTCAATTACCTAGCGAATCCACGCCTAATTGAACCAACCTCTATGTGTCTCTCAACCCGTCTTCACCTCGGAATGCCCAAATAGTTTTATTTTAGTTTAATTACGTGTTTATACGATCTTTAAGTTGCTGTTATGTTATTTCATTTAAAGTTAACAATAAAGCAAAAAGTTTTGCGAGCAGGTAAAGAACAAAGTTTTCCAACAATCAAAGCAAATGCAAACTCAATGTTTGAACTTTCAAGGAAGGAGAAAAAAAGAAGCTTGAAAACAAAAACCTATTTGGTAAATTTTTGGCAAATTTTCTACAGACTTAAAAGCCTAGAAATAAAACATCCACTGTTTAATTGAGTTTGAGATGGGCTCAACTCCAAAATACATTATTATTAACTCCAAAATTGGACATATCTCTATAAAGTTACATGTCAAATAGAAGGCTGACTATTGCAAAAGGGAGGCACTGTGTGCTGTACATGAAATCTTAAAAATAATACAAAATATTATCAACCAACAAATCCAAACAACAAATCCTTCAGGATTCAGAATTCAAACAATAAATCCAAACAACATAATTAACCAACAACAGCGATCAAGAGCAGAAAAAGGGAAATTCAATAGACAATGTAAAATACCTCTATTTTGGTGTTGAACGATGGGTCTTGAAGCCACTGTTGGGAAATTAAAAAACATTAAAAAAAATTGAGTTATTGACATAGAATGGCAAAGCTAAAGGTGTCTCAAAAAGGTCTATTAGTGTGTCTCCAATCTGGGAGTCCTTTGCATTATATATAGGACAATCAGTAGTGATGGGTCATCACTCATGTCCATCTATGTTGGGATGGTAAACCCCAATGACAACATTTTGAGATTAATGTTGTGATGACAATTGCTATAAAATTGATGTTGGGATTAATCCCAAGATTAATCCCAATATCTCCAAACATTTTGTCTCAAGATTAATCCCAAGATTAAAGTTGGGATGACAGTGTATACCCGTAATAAAATTGGACAGGAGAAGATTAATCCCATGATTATTTCTCCTTTATTTTGTACTTTTCGTAAGAAGCCATCAAATACATTAACTAAGACAATTTTAAAAATGAAATTGTTGCCCTAAAAATTGGCCAAAGTTAAAAGGATTTGAAAGTCGTTCAATAGCCATTCTAATATCGATACCTGAAATTAAAAAAAAAAATTAAATTTGAAAAATAATAATAAAGTTAGATTAGATGGATTAAAGTAAAAATGTCTAATGTTCGGTATTTTCAAATCAACATCACATAGTATGTAATAAACTTTCTAACTACTCAAAAGCATCTATCATTTATCAAACACCACTTACCATCACACACAGTCCAACTCGCTTTCTTCACATATTTCCTTATCTAGTTTTACTACATTTATTATGTACTTGACAAAAAATGAAAACACTTGTTTTCCTTTACTAACTAAACCAGGCAAGAAGAACAACGGGACAACAAAAACTCTACACCACGATTTTGTTGTCCTCATATTCCAAGAGGTTAAAAAAGAGAAGACATAAATAGAGAGGAAAAAAGAACCTACAACTTTAGTTTTCTCTTAAATAAAATGTAAATTTATAAATCCTGAAAAATCAATTTAAAAGACAATTAGACATCAATTTTTATTTTGACAATGGGGGATTCCAAAATTAAGCACAAAGTTATTTCCAAAGTAACTCAAAATTTACCAACGTATATTGTCTTAAGAAAGGCATTTTGTTACCTAAGATTAGTCTGTGTGTTAAAAAAAAAAGAAAAGAGATTTATCTATGTTTATCTTCCATTTTCTTTTGTTTTTTCAATTTTTTCAATCCTCATTATGCACATTTTCTTTTTGGTTTAAATTTTTAACACACACTCTCAACAATCCCCAAAATATGTAATGGCCAAGCCAACACTTTCTTATGGGGGGAAAAGAAATCTAGCGTACAGTGCATTGGTCATACTAATCCATTCAATTTCATTCCACTACTTTAACGTTCACCAAAACCACTAACAGAAAAGCTACAAAGACCACTACAACACCCTTTACTAAGCTCCATAAGGAAAAAAAGACAAATTAAGAAAAATAATCTAGTGGAAAAAGAAAATAAAAGCAAAAAGTTTGAGTAATACTATTTTTTTTAATCATGGTTTACTGCTCATTAGTCCCATTTTGCCTATCTTTTATGCAAATGGAAAGGGAGCTTTGTTTAAAACATAACTAAAAAAGTAACAAACCAAACAATTTAACTTTTATCAAAATTATATAAGATGTAATAAAGAAAAATTGTGCGAGAGAGTTGTACCTTTGATTATATTGAGAACCTAGAAATTGATGACCACCAGCAAAAAAACACAAAACAATATGAAAATAGCATAAAATAACAAACTAAAATTTGGGAAAAAACTAATGATTAGAGGGAGAAAGGAAATGACATATTTATCAAAACTTTAATGAAAAATATTATGAGAGAAATAAAAAAAAAAAAATGAATACCTTTCATTATAGAAACTGATGAACTGCGTCAAAAATTCATGAACTGCAACAAGAGGGAAATCATATATTAGAAATTGATTTATAGAAATATAGCAATCAAAACAAAAGAAATAAAACAATTAATCAAAGTACCATAATGTTTGTATATGATCATTTTCTACAGGATCATTTTCAGATAACTTTATTTTTTTAACACAAATAAAATAAAATAAAATAAAATAAATACAAAAGTGAATAGTTGAAAACAAACATTAAGGGTTGAAAGTGAAACCACCTTCATCTTCACTTATGAGGTACCATTATGCATAATTGTAGACGCGCCTGCGTGGGCCTCATGCTACAGTTCGAACTCGATTTGTGTCGCGGTTCTTAATCTTGAACCAAAGAGTCCAAATCTGGCAAATCGTTTTGAGAAACAGATTTTTGAAAAAGTAGTGCCAAACATGGACTGCCTTGCCAGATACAGAGTCGCCACCTAAATATTTTTTAAAATGGGGGGAATTTAGGAAAACCCTGACTCGGTGCCGAAGCCACCATTGTCCGTCATCACCTTGGAGGTTTGTCTCGGTCTGCGAGCTTGGGGTCACGATCGGGGGGAAGGTCAAGCTATGAGCACTCCCCTTTTCGCCCGGTCCGAAAGATCGGCCTCTACTAACCGTGATATCCAATTTTGAAAACACTTATGCTGTTCTTATCTGCAATCTTATTATTAGCCTAGAAATTACTATGCTTATAGCGCGCCAGCAAACAGTTAGGACTAGATTGCCTAATTTGGAAATAAACATTGCATATCCGTTCGGTTTGAAAAAGGTTTTGATTTGCTTACTCGCCAAGTAGGCTAAAACACGGATTCATGATATCTTCCCACTCAAACAACTCCAACTTCACCCACAGCATCCAAGCAGTTTATAACACATAAGCATCTAGCCACATGTAAGCATGCTGTCATGGCAAACATTTGCACACTCATGCGATATGCTAAAGCAAAAAATACTACATCGTACTCGTGCCAAAACAAAGAAACTTGTTAGCAAACATGCATGATCCAAGTCCATGTTAAGTGCCTAATGCATCGCATACCAAGTGGTTGCTAGAATAGGCTCGGCTATCCTAAACATGGCATGTGAGAATGCACCAACTATCTACAATAGTCAGTATTAGAATTTTGAAGTACAAATGCAGTTAGCGTGACTGTACCGAGCCTAACTCGCATGCAATACAAATGCATGGATTGCACACATGCATTAGCATAGGTATGCTATTTTAAACATGCCCATAATCTACCATCGTAAGCAGGTAAATAAAAGGAAGAAAAAGAAGTTGAGTTGGAAAGACAGGTACACACAACCCACAACACAAACTTATTACAGAATTTGCCCATCGCGCTCGGAGGGACCAAAATAAATATTACAAATTAATTAACTACGAAGCAATTAATATTACAAATTGCTTAATTAATTAACAAATTAACTAAACTAAATAAAAACAGTAAACCGCCTCGGGCGAGGGCCAGATCAACGCATGTCGGGACTGGCTCGGAATTGCACTGCCATGCATAGTTTGCCTCTGTTTCCCTGCTCTGCTCCTCTGAAAACTGCCAAAGTCTCAGGGATGCCTCTTCAGGACACTAGGGGATATCATCGGCTGAGCAGAATTTCCACCGGCAGTAGAATTTAGTCACCGGCACAAAATAGATCCCACCGCCATCGATTGACTGCCGGTATGGCAACTAAATTACTACCCCGGCAATAAAATCCTGCAGAACCTGCAACTCACAGCAGCAGAGGGCAAAATCTTTGCATGGCAATGCAGTTCAAGCAATTTCATGCACCCATCACATTCCCTTATTCATGTTAATGACTCAAAGGGAGGATATGCCCAGATTTCTCGGACCACCAGTCACGCATTTCATGCATGATGGCCCAAAGAATCAGAAGTGTTGCATATCTCAATTTCAAAAATGCATGCAAGCCAAATAAACCACCACCCAACGAGGGGCCTAACCTCGTATCATACTCATCTCAAACCCAAAGGCACCCAGGTGTATGACATGCAGCTGCAAATGCAACTTAGGCATCGACGCTCAGAGGACGGCAACAATGGCCGAGTACAACGAAAAGTGCAAGCGGAGCATCCCCGCATAATATAGCAAAGATGGTCTTACAACATGAATTAGGCAGCTCTATTAGGCCCAAAACAGTGGCCAAAATGCTAAGTGCATGGACGGCACAATGACATGCAAACACTGCACCTCAGATACATGGTTCCAGACTTAAGCATAATGAAGCGACTTTTCGACGCATTTTGAAAGGCACAAACATGGACAATTTTCATGCGAATTTCAGAGGTGATAGGTGATTGCACAAACAGCCCCCGAACATAACGAAACAACCACTCAACGCATGGAATGAATCCCGAAATGCCAAAATTAGGGCCCATGAAATGGCTTACAGCTATACCAAAAGCATGCATAATATGGACATGGAGCATGCAAGACAGAAGCAAGACAGCTCTGAGACAAGAATTTTTACAGTTTATGGCATGGCCAAACAGTAAGCAAAGACGGGCTAAAATGCATACCAAAAACGGGGCTACCACATGGATTTCAAAGCAAGTAGCACCACTAGTTAGTATCTCAATAACAGTGTTGAGCCTCTTCTTCAATGTTTGAAGAAGGGCTCAAAATAAGCAACTTCACAGTTTATAAACATGCCTCAAAACAGATCACACACAAGCCAAAAATATTATGCAAAATTATGCATAAGAGGGCTAATGAAGGAAGTGCTAGCTACTGTCCTCAAACAAGCAAGAGAATCTCAACTAAACATGAAGAGGACCTCAAAATATGATTATTTGAAGTTTGGGTCGAGCCCAAAGATTAACACAAGGAGCTAAGATATAGGCCAAAAAAATGCCACAAAAGAGGAAAGTGGACTCACCCCTGTAGAACAATCTTTAGCAACCTTTGGACTGAGTTTGGGAGCTTTTAACCTCTGGAGGACAGCCTCAAGCTGCTGAATGGGCGTTGGATGCCTTGTGCTATGACGT